TGATACTTCATCTTCTCAAAATCATCTTCCATTTGCTTGATCAACGTGAGCTTTCTCACTTGTGGTTCATCACTTTCAACCTTCACTTGAGCTCTGTAAATCTTGAGGTCCGTGACTGTTGAGTTTCTTGCAAACCTCACTGGCACTCTTGCTGATCCTTTCTTCAGGTAAGCATTGAACTGGTCTAGAGGATCAAGTCCCCATCCGACTTCCCACAACTTGCCTACAGCAAATAGTGGTTGTGTTACATCTCCGAACACAGCTGAATCTCTCACCTTTTTCACTCTTCCATCTGTCCTTTGGAATTCGAATGTGATGTTCGCGCTTGTCTCAGTTGTTCTTATCCTGTTGCCTTGGGCATCTTGAATAACCATTCTCAAAGCTGGGAACTCAGCTGTTCCTAAGTCTTCACTGTAGTAGCATAGCGGAAGTACGTGACAATCCGCGCCACTATCCAGAACGACTTCAACGAGTTCTGAGTAGCTTGTGTTAACAGCTCTTACTCGATGCACTTCTGGCTCTTCATCTTCGATCCTTCTGCAAGAACCGTTAGCTCCAAAGAGTCTTTCTCTTTCTCTTGCACTCTTGGCATTCTTCTTGTCCACTTGCAGATCTTCATACCACTTGTGAAGATCATCTCTTTCATAATCTTCTTCATCACTTTCATCAGCCATGCTTGACCATAGCACAACTGTGTTGACTCTTACTGCTCGTGCAGCACAATCCGTCAACATTTCTTCGAACATTCCTACAAGATCAATGTAGTCATCTTCTTCGTCAAACACTTCTTCGATCACTGGCATAGGTGTTGTCACCAACCTACGCACTTGCTCATTTCCTTTGGCTCCTTGCGGTGGCCTTGCTTGTGATTGTGTAGAAGTTCTTCCTCACCTGTCTCTTGGACATTCCGAACTTTTCCTTTTCCTCCTTTTCCTTTGCCCTTTGGTGGCGACCAACACTCCGAAGAGTAATGTCCGGTCTTACCACAATTGAAACATACAGGTCCATTCTGTCCACCTTTGCCTTTTCCTTTATCACGCTCGTAGCCTTTTCCCGAAAGCATCGCGAAGGGTTCTTCCGGGCGGAGCCGCCCAGATGAGTACATATATGACAGACATAGAACTTACTTGACTGTATGCTATACTGACTTACTTACTTACTGATTGACTCACTGACTTACTTACTTACCTAACTTACTTAGTGACTTACTTGTCTTACTGACTTACTTGCTGACTTACTTACTGAACTTACTTAACTTACACACTTAACTTACACACTTAACTTACTTACTTAACTGACTTACTTAACTTACTTACTTAACTTACTTACTTAACTTACTTACTTAATTTACTTACTTAACTTACTTGTTGACTTTACTTTACTTTTGACTTACCTTACTTACCTTATTACCTTACTTACTTACTTACGATACTTACTTACGATACTTACTTACTTACTTACGACTAACTTTTACTTACTAACTTATACTTACTAACTTACTAACTTACTTAATTATTTTACTTACTCTAGAAGACACACAGTGCTGCGAACCGTCACAACGACATGCCAAGTGCTCTGAGACCAAATGCCATCACGAATGCGCAAAGACCGTTCAAACCGTACTGCTGAGTGTCGCAGACAAACGCAGCAACGCTGTAAGCCAAGCTCCGCACAGAAATTAAAACATGTGCAACAATGGGCGGACAATCTGAGGATGGAGCGGCAAGGTGGGCTGCCACCGAAGGGCACAAAGCCTGGAAAACAAGCCAACCCGTGGTACAGACAAGTAAAGGCAATGTCAAGTTCTGTCTGGCCCCAGACATAATCGCAGAGCCAGTCAAGAGCTGGCAATGTCGCTGGCTGGGCAGAGGCTTCCAACATGCTCTCCTTGATCCCCGCCTCCCTCCACAACAAGCCAGGCCAAACGAAAGCCAACTGGCATCATGCAAATTGATGTCCGCGCGGGTCTAGCCGTGCAAGCAGGAGGCTGGATCCAACCCTCCACTGAGCGTCGTCCGATAGACAGCCATCCCATGTGTGGCTGCGTGAAGGGCTTACATGCATTAGCGATTTAGTTGCACCAGTGATTGCAACCGCCCCCTGCTTCTCCCACATAAGCACAACAGCCCTCAACACTAGCTCCACTGGATTTAACAGCTTCTCCCGCTCCTCTGCACACTGTCCGCACACCTTCCTGCATGTTTGCATCCCACAACCCTTCATCTTGTTCCTCTCTGGCTCACGAACAATCGTCATCTTGATGCCATGGGTGTGCGTGCCCCTTTTCTTAGTTGTCCGCTTCTACCCTCTGTTCATTCTCCCTTCTTCTGGAGGCCACACCCACAAACGTGTTAAAGGGCTAGAGTTTGGGCTGCTGTGTTGTCGTGTCTGCTTCATTTGTTGCCTTGTCATGTTTTCTCCCCTTGTCGCCTCCTTCCCTTCATATTTTCCTAGTCTGGTTCACTCCTTGGGTCTCTGCTTCGATATTTCTTAGATAATGAGACATGTCAGCATGCTGTACGCGGCAGGTGTAACAAGACAGATGAAGCTTTCAACGACTGGGATGACTCACAACGATCTACATGAGGACGACAACCATCTTACAGCAACGTGTATTTCTGTATTAAAATGAAAACTTGAAATATCTCAAGGCTGAAGGTCGGGAACAAAGCTGAAACACGTCTAAAGGGTAAGGGCAACTACACTTCAAGCAATTGCTTATAGGAGCCTATGGGAGGGCGAAAGACACTATACATGGGACGGATTGGACAAAACTATAACATGCACGACATTTGTTGATTGGTGGTTAGACTCGTTAGACTACTTCAAGAGAAGAAGCCCAAGCTCAGTAATTGACTTAAAGAGTGAAAGAAAAGGGTCTAAACTATGATATGATGAGTGATGCGCCGTATGGGGAGATATGAAATGTTGGAAAAAGAAGTACCGGTCAGAGATGAAAGCCGAAACAAAAACCATGCAACAAACCAGTCAGTCAACTAAACCGTTACAGCTATTACCACACAAACCAGCACCCGGTGCATCAGCATCAAGTGCACTAGCACGAAGCGCACTTGCACAACATGAAACGATTGAAGAGAAGGCAGGCTGACATCTGGAACAGAACAAAGACTACATACGAAATGGTTCCCTTGAATGCAATGTTGAACTATGAGAGTCAGCTCTATGATGAGAGAGCCACGCATTCAAGGACAATGACTATAGCTATCCAAAATCATTAGGTGGAGAACTGCTGTATCAAAGTAAGAGGATTTGTTAGATGCCAAGAAATAGGGTAACAGATGGGTCTGCGGCAAAGTAGAGTTAACAGAAATTGAGTTTGGAGTGTTGGATCAGGTTGAATTAGAGTTTGAGCGAGGTAATTCAAGCAAGCAAGCCCCTGAGATAAACAACCCTTGAAACATTGGCTTAGCCACAAGTCCCGAATGATGGCTTTATGTTGGAACCCAAGAAAGACAAAACGAAGACTACCTGAAACAACAGTGAAAAAGCACTAAGAAAGAGAAAAATTAAAGAACAAAGGCCACATAACTGCTTCGTGCATGCGACTGCTACTGCGGAGTGGGAAAAACGATAGAGGAAAGATGCAAAGAGTGGCCCAAACCCCAGGGTAGGAAAGGAGAGGGCAGAAAAACAACTGGGATACGGTGATAAAAAACAAACAAAACAGACACTACAACACACAGCAGCCCAGGAGTGCTGCATTTTGGACTTCCAGCATAACATCAACGTATCCGACCTCCCTGGTTCCCACCCTTGTTTTTCTCTCCCTCGTTCTTCCCGCAAAATGTCGAAGCAAAGCTGCACGCCTCTCTCTGCTTGCTCTTGCTTCCGCTTCAGGACACATGCACTCGTTCTCTCGCTCACTCTGTCTGTCTCTACCTTCTCTCTTTAGCCTTTTCACTGACGCTTCAACACCTGACCACCGTGGAAAGCCTTGAATCTGATACCAATCCCACGGAGCTTGTAGGGAAGAGCCTGAGATTGCAAGCTCGGTTGTTCACTACGTTTGCACGTCAAAAAGTCAATTATATTTACGAGTTTCCCTCCGTTGTCAACTGAGTAGAAGCCACTTGCAACCAGTCCTGCCTGGATCGCAAGCTTTTCGAAGTGCCGCTACTAGTTGGGCCTGGCAAAGTGTCCAAACATGGCTTCGGTATGGTATTGGTCCGAGCAAATGTGCACTGAAACAGTACCCAACTGCAGCACAATGGTCAAGAAAGAAGATTGCTGCGCTTACATTTCAATTTTGCCCCGCTTGCCTTTTTTTTGGTCCGGTTGCTGTCGGGATCAGGAAGACAGGACTTTGGACGTCGCCTTTTCATTGCGAGCTGGGCCGCAACGCTTCCCAAGCACCAAGTTGGATTAAAGTTGTTGAGCAAGGCCGCGGTGAATCATAATCAAACTGTCATGTTTATTCACGAAACTGCGTGAGGCACATAACTGCAGAAGCTCATGTCATATGAACGACTGTCTAAACTTCGTTCATGTTGGCTCGTCCTCCTAGCACTCCACACTGTATGGGCCCCGTTGCTGCTTGTGATGCTAGGCTTTACACTTGAAACATGCATTCATACCACTGGCGCTTGAGCCGAGCGCGTCCACAGCCATTGATTGTCACGGCAGCCAGCTCAAGCTTGGAATTGGAATCCTGCGAGGCACCTTTGTTTGTCGTGTCAAACTCTAGGGTACGAATGTATCTGTAAATCCTCCCGGGCCTCTCTTTACCTCTTTCGTTGCCTTGCGTACAGAGCCATTGTCAAGTGTGCAGTGGCATGAGAGCTGAATCATGAGATCTCGTCGAGCCCTTTCGGAGCAAAAGATCGACGAAGCCATGAGAAGGCCAAGGACTGCCATGCTCGACGCAGCAGTCCACATCGCACTGACCCTGTCCGCATTTCGATTCCAATCTAAGGCTGTTCTGTATCTTCGGCACTACACGGCCTCGGCCTGTGTCAGATCTCACGTGCAGGTGCCCAGGTTCACACTCGGCGCGGAGCTTCTTTCACGGGCATCATCTGCTCGCATTGTGATCCACCCTGGCAGCCAAAGTCCCCTTGCTCGTCACACAGCATCCGTAACTTCTATCTTGCGTCATTTGCAAGCAGTCTTTTGATGGTCGCACGTAAAGTAAACGTCGGCGTGAGTAGCCTCCATACCATTCAGGTGCACTCGGTCAAAGAAACGACTAAAATTCAAACTTCACTCATGCTTGGTTGGACATGGGGGAATAAACCGTAAGAGCCATAAGGGGGCCGATTATGGTGTTGCATATGGACTACGACAGGTATCGATTTCCCTTATTCCCAAGAAAAGAATGGATAGGCAAGACTACGATCAACTTCCTGGGGCTGCCTGAAAGGAGATGAGCAACACCAATTCCTGCAAGGGCTGGCAAATGAGCCATCGGGCATCTACATGTAGCCCTTGGATATACATGGAGAGCTCCTGCAAGGCTCATTCATATGCTGGGCCATCCACCGCTGGAAATGCATGGCTGCTAAATATACACCCTTAATCCCTGTGTGTAAGGGGTTTTACAGACCGGGCACTTGCATTTCCAGTTACGTTTCGCTTCCGGCCCACATATGTGGCAATAGCACGTGTGTCCACATGGGACCAGTGCGTAGTTTGCATCTGCACTACAAATGATGCAAACATTCCTCTCCGGCGGGGCAGCCACTTTTTCTGGCTGCTCTTCGAGGTTGTGCGATGGCATCATGCTTTTTACCACCACACTGAGCACAGAATTTTCAAGCTCCTCATGCTCGGCTTGAAGCGCCTTGTGCTTTGCCTGAACCGTACCACACTCGCAAGGCAGAAAGCGATTGACGAATAGTGCGTGCGTGAGCCTCGCTGGCTTGCTTTTCTCGAAGAAGCTTTGCCACGTTCGCCTGATTGTCTTCAATTCTTTCACAGGAGGGAGGGATTGGAAGGGATCGACACAAGCGCAAACTGCTTTGCAGAAACGTCCCGAGGAAACTTGGCGGGCACGGCCCACTGACCACAGAGAAGGAGCTGTCTAGTATCATAAGCGTTTTCGACAACAGAGCGACTACACTCCCACTCCAGAAGCGAATCTGGCAGGAGAACAACGCCCAGGTGAAGGAAGCACATGACTGCCACAAGCAGCATGCAGCTACGAAGGAGGCTACATCCGATCAGCAAACTCTTTGTCCTGAAACCGGCAGAAAAAATGAAAGAAGCCAAGAGAGAATAAGGGCTTTGACAAAATACCACAACACGAAGCTAAGACATACTCAGCATCAACCAAGTTCAGTGCCGAATATGTAAAGAAATGGGCTGATCAGGGGCAACAACGATTCCGGTAAACCCTCGTGCGCATGCCACCCTGTGAACCTTCACATTTCGCAGGCGGGTTCGATTGTTTCACTCATGACGTTGAAACCAACCACCGTCAGCCGTTTCCTTGGAAAGGCACAGGTCCAAGCGAGGAATCCTGTGCCTGTCAACAAAGATCAGGAGAGTGGCAACAGCCTGGACGAGCAAAGACAGCACCAAGACCGAGCAAGATACTGCTGGGAGACGGCAGGACCGGGGTGGCTCAATAGAGATAGCGCAGCTGTTGGCTTTGAGCCGTGGAACCCCTGCGCCCCCGGCCCCGACGCTCCGCTTCGCGTCTCTCTCGGAAGGCCGCCGGGGCAGAGCGCCCCCACAGCTCGGGAAGGCGCCCAGTGGCTTCTGCCAAGGAAACGGAATAAAAATCTTTTTTCAGGACCTGCAGCTGACAGTCGCCGCACGAATCCAAGCCCTTCATGAGCTGGGAAGGGCTTTTCAGTTTCGTCCTGGACCTGCAGGCATGCCTACGATTTTTGCCGACACGGATGTGTAGAGGGGGAGCCCACGTGACCTTCGGGGCCATAAAAAAAAAAGCCCGGCACAAACCCAATCACAGGCCCGGAATTCGCCTCCAGGTCCGCTCGAGCCATCCTCATTGTTTCTTCTGTCACAGACCACGGGGATACCTGCAACGCGCTTCTTGGCTCAATGAACACATGGCATAGTATAGCCCTCGTTTGTCAAGTTGACAAATGCGCATCAGATCTGTGCATAGCGCGCCAGCGAAACAGAATCCAACCCGAGGAAATTCATGAACGAGCCCGGCGCACCAGCGGCAAGGCCTTCCCTCCGGCTCCGGGAAGGCAAAACGCAAAGAAAAGACTCAGCTGGAGCTCCTGCCACCACGAAAACTTGTTGGACGTTACAGCCAACGGCCCTGATTCCCACCTCACCCTCTGCCATAAACGTCCAAATCTCGGACACGACCTCGGACTCGCGGCTCGCATTCAAAAACACTTATAACACACCAGTCCTACCCACCTGTTTTGCAAGAAGTGGGTTGAAGCTTGTGAACACCTCAGCTATTCCAAGGGTCGTCAAGCTGAGCAGAGATCCGCTGGGTGCCTGGCTCGTGCCAAGTCGAACCATGTGACGACACCAGCCTTTGTCGTGCAGATCTTGCTGAGCTCCTGTCAATCGAGGATCGGCACACCAGGGCCAAGACTGCCATCAGGCCTAGCAACGAGCCTCCCGTAGTCCGAGGTGCTTTTTCAGGCAGAGACACCGGGGTAGCTCGGACAATTCTCTGGATAGAAACTTCACGGCCGAAATGGCCTGACTCTGAGCTGCATCGACGGTTGAGCGGCAAAGGCATCCGAGGCTATGCACAGGAGGCCTCTGGGCTCAACCCGTCTGCACGTTCAAGGCCTTGGTCAGCACGATTCTTCGCCGTGGCGGCAGGGGAAACGCCCGCAGCACACCAAGAAGACAGTAGTGCGAGCCGTCACAACGACATGCCAGCTGCTTAGAGGCAAAATGCAATCACGAATCTGCACAGCTTCAACACGAGCAGCAACGCTGAAAAGACATCCTGGGATAGTGACAACTTCCCCTGGCTGTAGGCAGGACATGCCGCCTACGCCACTTCGCTAACGGCTCCTACAAACAAGCACTCGCCGAGCTTGGGCCAAAGCTTGAGGCAAGCCCAAGCTCCCTAGTATCAAGAGATTCCTTGCTATCGGTGGCATTTTAATGCACAGCAACTGGGGAGGCATCGCTAACCCGGTGCACGGACCTTCAAAAAACAATGGACAGACAATCTGAGGATGGAGCGGCACGGAGGGCTGCCATCGAAGGGCAGAAAGCCTTGCAAACAGCCGACCCATGATTCAAGGCCCAACCTTACTCGCAAAGCCAGTCACAAAAGCTGGCGATGTCGCTTGATCGAGGCAGGCCTACAGTACGCTATCCGATGAGATGCGCTCATGTGTGTGGCTGATTCAGGGCTTACCCGTACCAGCAGTCCAGCAACAGCTGTAACAGTGACTTCAAACGCCCTTGCCTCTCCCTCAAAAAGCACAACTCCAGTGATTCCATTTCTTCTCCTGCTCCTTCGCACAATGTCCGCACGCCTTCCTGCAGTTTCGCATCCCGCAATCCTTCCTCAGCTCTCGCCGAGACTTCACTTTCATATCATCTTTTCACATGTCTCTCTTCATACTTCTTCTATCTCTTCTTCTTCTGTGCGCCACACCATCGGCGAGTGCGGGAGTTGCACCACGTATGCTAGTGCAGTCCGTGGTCTGATCACGCTCGCGAGGACTCGCTCTCTTTCTCTTTCCCTCTCTACCCTGTTCGCTGATGTTTCTTCACCTGAATCTGATACCAAGCCCACGGAGCTTGTGGGGAAGAACGTGAAACTGCAAGTGCAGTTGCAGATTTCATGTGCAAACCAAAGCACTTTATGAGTTTCGGAAGCCACTTGTAACGAATCCTAGCTGCCTGCATCACAAGCTTGTCGAAGTGCTTCGGCAAATCTGGCCTGGCAAGGTGTGAGCGGCATACATGGCGTTGGAATCCTTGGTCCGAGCAAACGTCCATTCCCTGACAAGATTTGGCAACTCAGCCGCTGCTGAGGTCAAGCAAATGCCAAAGAAAGAACGCACCAACATTCCTACATGTTCCAAATCAAACTTGTCCTCCTTGCCTTTTTTTTGACCGCTTGCTGTCTGGATCAGGACCTTCTCGGGACTCTGGACCGGCCCTCTTTGCCATGGCGGACTGAGCCATGGCGCTTCCGGTGCTTGAGCCGAGCTCGTCCACAACCAACAATTGTCATGGCAGGCAGCTGAAGCTTGATCCCTTGAGGCACCTTTTGTTAAGTCATGTTATCCTCTCAGGTACGGGCTGAGCATAGCACAGGGTTACGAAGCCTTCTCGCATGCTCGAGGAAAAGGATTTCGGCTAAAATGTATGCTATGCTGCTATGCGGACTTAACGAAGCTGAGCAAAGCGGAGACAGGGTGCCTCATGCCGGAGGAGCTTCACGAAAGCGCCGATCTGGAGACAGGGCATCGAGACATTGAATCCGGAAGTGGACGTTTGCATTTGTTCTTGTCTGGTTGGCGCCTCCTTTGCTGTATGCTGTTAAGATGGTGAATACCCTTTGTGTTGGTGATCCCCTTGCACTCCATATTTCCAATATTATCAAAGCATATGAGGTAAACCGAAGCAAAACGGCTTACCTTTGAATCTACTCACATACATACACCATACATGCATACATTCAGGGCAATCTATCATGAAGCTGGCTTGGTGTCCGGAATCTGGGCCTGCAAACTGGGCCGAAAACCTTCACAGAAAGCTGCTTAACGGTCAACGTTGGTTGTGCCCGGCTCCCTTTCACTGGTTGCACACACCGGCTGGACGCGCACCTGGACTACAATGCTATACAGCGCAGTGAAAATGACAATCATGGGGCCTCCCCTCACCCTAATTAGCATTGTAAAACCCAAACGGGGTGTAGGGTCCCACGTAGAGAAGGGCTGCGACCCACCGGGTCCCACCACGTCCCACCGAACCCGATTGGGGTCCCACATAGAGAAGAGCTGGACCCACCGCGTCCCGCGGACCCGATTTGGGTCCCACCGTAGAGAAGAGCTTGGACAAACAAACCAGGTCCCACCAAATACGTGTCGTGACACGCGCAAGGCTGGTGATTTTGAGGGCGCGATTTTTGGTCCAGAAAATGCTCATGCTTCCGGCTTCAACATTGCGTGCCTCCATAGTATTATAAGAATGCAATCAGCTTACATGCCCCTCTCTCTGTCTGGGGGAAGGACAATTCCACAAAGTTTCAAAGGTTTCGTAAACTCTGAACACATTGTAAGCATAAAGATCGCAGTCTCCAATTATTTATCGAAGAAGCAATCCTTTGTAATATAATTGTATTCTCTTGAATCGCAATATGGCACAGACCTCAATCATTCGCGCATCTCTCTTTTTCGCTCGAGGCGTACAAAGGGGAAACTCAACGTGCCGGCCATCAAGTTAAAAGATTGTGCACCTCCCGATCTCGGATGATCGGCACACGAGGATTTGGGCGCGGTCACACCCCCCCCCACAGCTGAAGAAAGGGTTGGGCGGGCGGGCAAAGAATTTTCTCTGCCCTTGATGGCCGACTGCAACGGATATGAATTGTTCGCATCAATGCTATGCACATGAAAATAGTCAAAGAAAATTCTTCATTCAATAAAATCATGTACAAAACGAAACCCTTCTCATTTCCCATGAGAATGTTTGAAACTTGGTGGAAAGGTTTAGTCCGCAAGCGGAAAACTGACTTCCACAAAGTTTCAAAGGTTTCGTAAACTCTGAACACATTGTAAGCATAAAGATCGCAGTCTCCAATTATTTATCGAAGAAGCAATCCTTTGTAATATAATTGTATTCTCTTGAATCGCAATATGGCACAGACCTCAATCATTCGCGCATCTCTCTTTTTCGCTCGAGGCGTACAAAGGGGAAACTCAACGTGCCGGCCATCAAGTTAAAAGATTGTGCACCTCCCGATCTCGGATGATCGGCACACGAGGATTTGGGCGCGGTCACACCCCTTTCCTCTTGCGCCTTGTGATGACTGAAGTCTTAAGCTCATCGTGCCAAGCGAAGGCTTCCACGCAAGTAGCCTTCATCAACTTAAGTGCCAAAGCGAAGTCATCTCTGGAAGGGCCGTCCGCTATATTGCTACTCGACGGTACACGGTCAATCCAGTACAGAGACGGAAACTTTAGATCAGGAAGGTCGAACAATTGGACTAAGTTGTTCATCCCGTCACTTCCACTTCCACCTTTCAGAATGGCATACCGAGCGGCGTCATTGTCGACGAACATAATCACTCGCCTGTTCAAGAATTGATCTTGGAACATCCATCTTACCGCCACCAGAACAAGCAACTCAATGTGGCATATAAGTTGAGGCTCGCCATCCCGAGCATCGAAGTCCTCCTTCCACGACTCAATCGCCCAAGATGGAGCCACACCTCCTAGCACATGTCCACACTGTTTCAAGGGATCCCAGATGCACGCACCAATACCCGCATGTCCCGATTCCCACGAGCCGTCGGTCCACACGAGTATTGATTCACAAGCAAAGTTGCACGACAAGACCCTGGGCGGCATCGATTCCAGCACATGCCTCACTCGTGCCGAAAGCTTCTGGAGCCGTTGGAAAGCGACCGGGCCGCGCCATTCAAGGAACTCCAAGAGATCATAACACAAGTGTTTCAGCACCCTTCCGGAATAAAACCCCGCAGCGAAATTCAACAGCCCATGGAGGACCTGTATCTGGTGGCGGGTGATGGCTTCCGGTTCAGAGACCTTGCCAAACTCACTCAAGATTCTCTCCACCCGTCCGGGTTTGTTCCTGAGAACCACTAAACCTTTCTGCAGTTGCGACAAGTCCAAAGTAAGTCCTAAGACATCGAAGGATGATGAGCACGGCTTGCCTTTTTCGCCTGTGACGGCGTGAGACCACCCCAGCATGGTGAAGAATTGACTTATGCATTCATCTGCCTCCTGGGCCCCCTCTTCTGGCGCGAAGAGAGGGTAGTCGTCAAAATAGCAAGCTGATGGAACCTTCAGGACTTTATTCGCGAGAAACCAGAGACACCGACTAATCCTAATGAACCCGAAAACGGCGGCAGTGGCGCCAAACATCAGCGCATTGGGGAGGAAAAATTTTTCCTCTCCCCCTGGTCCTCTGAAGTAGGTTATGCATAAATCTCGTTGATCCGGGTGCAATGCTACCTGCTTGTAAGCCTTGGTCAAGTCGAGGCATTTACCCAGCCATGCACCTGACCCATGCTTTTGGTTTTTGGCCTTCTTGGCGATAAGAAGGGCCAACGATGCTACGTAGTCAGCATTGTGAAGCTCCAAGCGGATGGTAGCGCTGTAGGCAGCATTGGTTTGCGACTGACAGGCATCATCGATAGGCCGATGTTTCGACCCTTGATCCAGCAAGAACCTTCTTATGACGCACCACTGGTCATGTCCCACCAAGTTTGAGATTTCATCAGCCGTGTACGGCCCATCTAGGAAACCCAGGTCGACTTCCTCCTGCGTGACCTTGAACAAGAGTTGAGCCTTGGCCGCGTCGCCGGGTGCATCATCACCAACAATGGCTTCCCGTCTCTCCTTGGCTGTATCCCGCAGGTCTTGCTCAGTTAGCGTAGCGGCTTTCACCTTCTTGTCGAAACAAGGAGGGTGGGGTTCAGAGCCCATGACATGTACACCCTCGGTCAAGAACTTGACTGCCTCAAGGTCATCATAACCTTCTTGTTCAAGTAAGGCCTTAAGTGCTAAAATCTTTTACCACGCATCACCTTAGCCACTGAAGAATGCATCTTACTGTGGAGGTCCGCCTCCTCTCTCTCACCCTTTTTGATCAGCAGCTGTAACTTAAGCAAGGCCAGCTTCCTGTGCAAAGTCACTTGCTGCGGAGAAGAGTTCACCAGAAAGTCGATCGCATCCACAGTGATTGCAGCCACAGGATTGTGGGTGTCGAATGGGTGCTGCAACGCCTGCGCCTTTTCCACGAAAGCAGAAGGGGTGTGATACACACCAACCTTAACGAAACCCTTATTAGGGAGGGGCCTACTAGAAACCACAGGGGGCACCTGGGCCTCGGCAATAGGGTTGTTCGAGTCGCAGTCTCCCGCACATTCCCCATGGAACGAGACTTCGCGAAGTACACGCATGCCTTTATCAACCTGAGTAATTGGCAGCTGGATCACCTGAGCAAATTCTGGAATCAGGGCGGCGTGCTTGCGAGTCTGACGCGACACAGCGGCAGATGACAGGACGGATAGGGTCGGCTCCAAACGGACGGCAGGGCGTTTGGGACGCACATGAAGCAACAAGCAACGGGCCATGCGAGCGGCCAGAAGAGCAGGATAGGCCGCCTCTTGGGCAGTGGCAAAATGCCAACGACCCCCTTTGGCTGTGATAGACCAGGGCTCATGCTGATGCCGCCCATCACACTGGGCGCTGAGGGTGGCATAAACATCAGCGGTACACAGCAGCTTGGTCTGTTTAGGACGGCTGCCTCCATGCATACAGGAATGAAAAATGACGGATTGGAAGCGATTAAAGCAGGCACAGTCAGAGGCGTTAGCCCTGCGGCGCAGGAGCTCGACGAGGGCCGCCCAGGCCCAAGATCTGGCCGGATTTTCAATGGACACGACAATATCGCGGCGGGCACAAAACAAGGCAATGTCAAGGGAAAGCTCATAGAGCTGGTTAGCCTTTGTAACTCGGATGGCGTCAAGAGAGCCAGGAGACAAACTCGGCAAGCCCAAAGGATTCAAAGCATCTCTCAGAGGCTGGGGCTCTGGGGCCCCAGCCGCAACAACACTGGCTGGAAGGCGTTTCTCTCGAGCACGAGAAGCGGTACCGCATGGAACCCCGACATGGATGGCCTCTGGCTGCAGTTTAGCCACAAGATCCCAGAAAATCTTAAGGCCCGACGCCGAAGTCAAATCCAAAGGTGCAATGGGCACTTGTGCACCCCGAACACAAATGTCGATGGCAAGCACGCGAAACCCAGCTCGGATCCAAGCTTTAGAAAGCACCGCAGACCCCGCGAAAACCTCCAAGGCCCAGGGACGGCTATCCCGGACGGGTCGCGGAACTCTCGTAGCAGAAGGCAGCGAGAAACCCAAGTCACGCAGAAATTGAATGTCCTCAACAGACAAACCCTGAGTGGGCACGCTGTAAGCCACCAGAACCTGCCTGAGTCCTTGCCAAGCCTGGGTCCAATGCCGCTGGGATTGAGCATCAAAGACAAGGACGTGATTTTGAAAAGGAATTATTCGGCCATGGACAACCTTTCCTTGGAAGCAAGCGCGTTCGGGACCATCGGGGTCCTCGACAACCAAGCCACCCTGCTTAAAATCTGTAATCGCAATGACAGCGTTCAAGCTGCCTGGCAAGTTATGGCGATCGACATGCACATCAGCCTCAATTTGAGAGAAGAGGGCAATGGATGTGAAACTATGGCACGGCAAGAAATGATTCAGAACTGAAATGCAAGCCCTGACACAATGCGGATAGGTTCGAGTGGTTCCACACACACCCGATTGTCCAGCAAAGACATAGGCTCCCGACACAAAAGATTTGGAAAACTCACCCCCTTGGCGGCGACCCTTGGAATCAGGAAGAACCTCAAAGATCCGCCCCAATTGAGCACGGGTAACAGGCCCCGATTTAAGGCACTCCGCGGCTAGAGCCTCGGCATCATCGAATGTCCGGGTACCGCCGACAGTGGCCGTAGAAAAGTCTTGCTCTTGCACAGAGAGCGGCACGGCCCGAGCAAGAGAAGCCGTGCCCGGGTCCTGTCAATCGGAATGCGTACACTCGAAGTAGGGCTTGGCACGACCGCATCCAGCCTTCCAGCATATGTGCAGTCCTCTCTGGCATCGGCCAGCTTTGCCCTTCCATCGGCACGTGCCGCGGTTGAATCCATAACAGATGGGCTTATTGGCGGCATCTCGAGATACACAGCCCTCAGGAATGTCAGGTTTGGAAGGAGCTGCACCAGTGCCTTTGCCTGTCTTGCCTTTTCCGTCCTTGCCTTCTTTGCCTTTCTTACCCTTGCCTTTCCAAGCATTGCTATCCCAACCGGCAGGAGGGTCAGGCGGACGTTGGACAGGCTGCAGAAACTGAGTGACCTGTGGTGAGTGCATCAATTCTTGAATGACGTCATCAAGCGGCTTGGGCTGTCCGGCCGGAGCAGCAAGCCGACCCATCAACTTTTCAGAGGCATACATGAAGAGGGCACGGTCAGCCTGTTAGCTGATTGACGCTGATAGGCGACATTCCCTTAGGCACCTCTCGCGCCTGGCACGAGAACAAATGCTGCACCCACTTCTCGATCTCTATATATGAGCACACACCTGCTAGATCCATTGCAAGAGATCGGCGGTTCCACGCTGCCTTGAGTCTAGCATCAGAAGAGGTTTCACACCGAAGGTCATTGGGCTTCGAATTGATGCGCATACGGCCGTCTTGGTCGATGTTGATGGTCTTATCCTTCTTCACGGACATCATTTCCTGGGCCCTTGAAACACAACGCTCAGGCCCTACATATTGCAGAATCTCGGACTCCAGTTGGTCCACAAAGAGATCCACCAGGCCATTAGACGGAATAGTCTCCGGGGTGAAGACCACCCCTGCAAGGCGAGCCTGCTGCGCCTGGGCACGGGCCGCACGCTCTGCTGCCGGGAGCTTACGCACGACATTATCAGCCGGAGGCTCCACACGAGTGTGCAGGTCTGCAATGTTCAAGCTGTTGGCCTCAAACAGCAACCGCCTAAGGCAGGACACCTGATACTGATACGGCGATGGGGCAGTGCTGAAAACGTTACGGACCCATAAGTCCACTGCAGTATCATCAAGCTGCGCGGGATTAGCAGACACCGCAAAGCGCAATTTGCCAAACGTGGTGAATCCCGCAGTAAGAAGCTCTTGCAGCACTGGCGTAGAGATCCCCACCTTCAAGGCCCGTTCCTTGAAGGATGCCTCCGAATCCAAGGATGCGGCAGCCATGTTGCTCAGCTAGCGTTCTCCTATCACTTGGTCGGCTAGACGCATACCACCTCAGGAAGTGTCGTGAAACTGCGATGTTCAGAATGGAAGCGTAAATCAGTCTAGGCCCACAGGAGCCTACCACCTCAGGAAGTACCAGATTTGACAATGTTTAGGACGGACGTCAAAATCCTGTGAGCACTCGGCTGCATGCGACGCATGTGGACCAGCTGCAATCCAAGTGCCATCGACTTTCACTGCACGAAGCAGGCACCCCTCGCGTCACAGAGATCCTCCCCCGCCGCTGACATTGACCGCACTCGGCTGTGGGTCAATCGGCAGGTCACGGAGAATGTCTCGCGATTCCATCCCGAGCTCCTTTTTCAATACTCAAGCTCACGAAGTTTCAAGGCACCGGTTACACTGATGGCAACACTCCGGGTTGACACCTGCGATCCCTGCCTCTCTGGTCGCAACAAAATTTGAGGACAGGAAACGACCGCAAAGCAACGAGTGCTCATCTCTCATAACATGCGTTATGCCAGAAATCTTATGCGTCCAGCATGAACTAAGATCCACCCCTTTGAAGGGTGATCTGACTCTCACAGCCCCCGGCACCTGGAGGTCCTCGGTCGGCTCATCGGATCCCGAGCTCAAGCTACCCACCTCAGAATCAGCGGCTTCTGGTTCTGGCTCTCCTCGGGGCTCACGTCGAGACGGTTCCTTTGCTGCCTCAGTATCGTCCTCACAAGGTTCAACCCGAGACACTTGATGCGCAATGGATTTCATCCTCATCACAGCACTCATATCAGGATCAAAAAGGCCGGAACGAACGGTGGCATACATCCCAAGGACCTTTCCGTACAAGGCCACGTACGCGTCCTTGCTGTAGACCACCACCGATTTGTTCTCCTGATCCAGATGATGTCCCAAAAGCCGTCTTTCAGGATGAGTGAAGGTAACTGGGTGGGACTTCCCCGCCCAACTTAGCAAAGTCCTCTTCATAGAATGAGTCCCCAACTCCCGCAGCTCTCCGTAGCTTGGGTCCATGCTTTGAAGAAACTCACGGAGATAAATGCTGGCTTCCGACGCTGACATTCGTAGCGAACCCCAGCAACCTTTCCTTTCACAAAACGTGGGCAGAAAAGGATCCACATCAGTCAAGCCTTCAGCAGTGCGTGCATCGAACCAAGCTTTTGCCCAAGGTAACCCTGAAACGCCAAGTCCCACACCCACGTATGGTAGCAGAGTGGTCTTGGCCTTGGCGGTCAAGGTTGTCTTTGAAGTTAGGGCCTCACCGTAAATCAGGACTTCGCCCGATTCCTCGTCCACCTCCAATTCGATGTGGCGAAGGGTTTGCGAGTCTCTCCATCTTGACCCTGAATGCATACACCACAACAGCTGTCCCGAAATGCAGGCATGCCTCGAAGAAGCAGGCGTGGTGAAGAGCTCAAGATGTTCCACCTGCTTCCTGGTTAAGGCCTTCTTCTGCCTCAGCGGAGCCTTGGCCATATGCATTTCCTGAGCAACACCACGGCACCGGGCCGACATCACCTCCTCGACCTCAATGTGAACCAAACTCACCACCGAATCTAAGAAGCGTAGGGCTTCAATCAGATGGCTTCCTGATGTAGCCCCAGCGGACTTCTGTAGATCACATAGGTAGTGATACAGATGCACCTCTTCAAACCTCAAGGGGGATGCTCCCTCTCGCATGCACCAGCTTGCAAACTTACACAATGACCCAGCCCTCTTGTGGATGGTGCTTGCAGCCTTGGATGCAAAGGCATGGGAGAAGGAAGATGAAATTTCCTCCTCTGTGGCCAAATTTTCGACATCACTTGCCAAACTTCTTCCTAACTTTGAAGCCAACGGATCCAGCATGACCAATGTACGGATTCGAGCAAGAGCATGCACCCTCAAGTCCTCGTCCGACCGTTCAACTCTAAAGTGGCGAAGCCTAGATTCGACCACCCACGCCAGCACTGGCTCTGGCTCTCTGACACCCAACGGCGAGTTGAGTGGTGGGTTAAGTACATCAGCTAACCCGACTGAAGGTCTGGCCCTATTCAAGAAACTAGTCGCAGAATCAATCCCAGGCATCTTTAAGGCAAAAGGTCCGGAATTCCAAGGTTGCGCTGGAATGCTCAAGCGCCTGCGCTTCACATCAAACAAAACTGCATCCACCTGCCAGGCATTCAACTGAGGGTCAGCGGAGCCAGGACCTTGAAACCTCACTGGAGAGAGCATAGGCAGAGGCTCCAAAGTTGGCAGGCAGACCTCACACGGTTGTTCAGCAGGCACAGGCAACTCGGTATCAAGACCTTCACCTAAGTCAGAGGGCTCTGCAGGCCAAAGATGCTCAGGCTCATCTGACAGATCAGCCACACTCTGATACCAATTAGCCTCCTCATCAAGGGGCTCAAGGCGAGTCTCATGTTCTGAGCTGTCACGAAGCAAGTCAAAGATTCCACGATGCTCCCCCGAAAATTCAGATGCAGACTCGGGTCCTTGCTCGGGGTCTAGTCCGGAAATGGACAACTCATCGGGCTCTCCCCCTAAAAATGATGAGAAGCCGGACATGGCAGGTACTGGCAATCAGTTCTCAAGAGAATAATCGTCTGAGTCACTGAACCCTGCAGGGCAACGCCAAAGCAAGCTATGCTGTCGTCGAAGGCAAACACAGGTCACGCGCAACACGCGAGCGCGGCGTGTTCGCAAGCAATCTACGATGGCTTGCCAAATCACTGGTATATGAACAATCAAGAGCACAGAAATGGATGATGAGGCCTCCGCACGCGGGCCCTGGCTCGCAGTCAACGGCCGCCGACGTACTTGATTGTAGCGAAGGCAAATGTCACGGCTCTGGTCCATCCGAGCCCCTGCGGGGCTCTTGCACGGCGCTCTAAGACTCTAAGAGCAACACCAGAATACGGAGGACCCGGGCCTGCTAGAAGCAGCTTACAAGCCTCTAGAGAGCCCAATTCTCCCAAAAAGATTGTTTCCCTCGGATCAAAGCATATCAAGCAATGGTCATATGCTAAACGACCGTAATGCAAAAATCCGCCAAATCCAATATATATAAAAAGTCAATCTCAATATATTCCGGCATATAGCCTTCAGAATGTTACTCAAACACAGCAGCTCACAGCACTCGCACGTTCCTCAACTTTTTACTGAAAGGCGGGGGAGATCGCGGTGAAAGTCGAAGCCCACAACAGACCGATGCCCCAACGGGTATTTCCCAGCATCAACAGTCTTGGGCGCACCCTCACCCCCACTTTGGGTCGGGCGGGCGGGAAAAGCAAGAATTTTGCCCCACCTCCAGAACTTGAGATGTCAAGGCAGCACGGGGCAAAAATCTCATGATCCATGTAACATGATAACAGCACTGCATGTTCATGTCACATGTAAAATCATCCTTCTCCAAAGACGAACTTCGTGTTTTAGCAACGCCCAAAACGGTCACTAAAACAGAAAGAGAAGGAAAAACTTTTTATGGAGAAAGTGACGTCGTGAAGCACGAAGCTTCCTTCTTTTCTCTGCCCTTGATGGCCGACTGCAACGGATATGAATTGTTCGCATCAATGCTATGCACATGAAAATAGTCAAAGAAAATTCTTCATTCAATAAAATCATGTACAAAACGAAACCCTTCTCATTTCCCATGAGAATGTTTGAAACTTGGTGGAAAGGTTTAGTCCGCAAGCGGAAAACTGACATTGTGCAATGTAGGGCCATGTCGCAGCAAGCTACGCGCAAGCTTTTGGTCTAGTCTAGAACGCTTGGGCAGCTGCAGGGCATTGGATTGGCAAGCAAAATGTACGATTTCCGGCCTCGTTTCTGGGACCGTTTTCCGGGCAGCTTTCTTAATGCCAGCAGTAGCAAGGTCACCAGTTTATGGGCTGCGCCGCGGGCCGAGTTTTGGAGCCCCACAAACTCCGTATTTTGGGAACCACAATGTCGGCACCAATCATTCAAACTACTTGTCGGGCTGCTTTGTGTTCCCATCCTTGCGACCAGACTTGCTTCCCGTGTTGGGGTTCCGGTTTCAGAGTCGCTGCGGACCCCAAAATTGGACTCAATGCACAGTATTATAAGAATTTATTTCCCAACGAAACTTCCGTTTGCGCGCGTTTCGGAAAACCCTAAACTGCGCTGCAGAGGAACCCTGTGCAAAACACTCTCTCTGTTTCCCCCTAGCGGACATGGGGGGTCAGTTCGGGCCCGGTCTTCGGGCACTTGCGAAATGATGCCGCTGGCATCTGTCGGAAAGAGTCGACCGCTGGTCGAGGGTAAGGCGAACGACTGGTTCACCCCCCCTGCCCCCTGCAACGGGGATCTCCGTACTACTCGAGATAAGAGTGAAACATTCTGGGACCCACAGGGTCACTGCAGACTACTACTAGCTACTCTGTTCTCCTGACGGCCTACGGCCTATATACAGCGAAGCACGCTGTGCTGAATAAGAACGTCTCTGCTAGAGATGAAAGAGGAGCGCTGCTCCTGGCAGCTCTGCTGCAACAGCGTGGTCCCAGACCCCGCATACTATACAGGGTGTGGTGGGTGGGATAAAAACTTTTTGGATCACAGATCCAAATTTCAAGCCGAAAGCTGCACGGCAAAGTTTATCTAGTGTTCACCACACACAAGTGAAAACTCTGTTTTCCTTTTTCGACAAACTTTGTCTACACTTTCGGCGGGAAATAAAACCCATTCACGCACGACGCACGCATGATGGGAGCTTATTTCCCAACGAAACTTCCGTTTGCGCGCGTTTCGGGAAACCCTAAGCTGCGCTGCAGAGGAGCGGACATGGGGGGTCAGTTCGGGCCCGGTCTTCGGGCACTTGCGAAATGATGCCGCTGGCATGTGTCGGAAAGGGCCGACCGCTGGTCGAGGGTAAAGCGAACGACTGGTTCACCCCCCTTCAAGACACTCGAAGCCTTACACACCCCCCATTCAGTCCGCGCCGAGTGACAGAGCCAACGGCACTGCGTTGGGCGGGAGGTGCTGGCGCTGTGCGCCCAACCTCTCCGTTTCCTCCCACCAGTCTCTGTTGGGTCCGTCGGCAATATTGCTGTCGGTCGGCACCCTGAAGAAAGCAGCCCTGCACTGCAGGGACTCTTCAACATCAACAGCTTGCGAAACTATCGCAGCACCTTCCACCTTCCGCGTGAAGGCCTTGTGCAAGGATGTACGCGCTGCTTCGTTGTCAATCCAGACAAACAGGTCGCTGCCTGCTATGTAATTTGCCCACAGCTGAAGGCTAAGCAAGTAAGGCAACAGCTCGCATTCATATAAAAGCTGCTGTTTTTGAGCTCTGGCAACCCACTGGGCTGCTACCTGGGCGCTAATCTGTAACCCCCAGGTAAAGGCAGTACCTTCCCCGATGAGCACTGCACCGAGGCCGCATTTAGGCACCAGGCGTGGGGTCTCCCACAGGCCCCGTCGATGTACAGGTGGAACTTCCTGCGTGCATGCATGGAAAGGGTCCTTGGCGGCCCATGCACTACTCGCTGCAGCAGAAAAGCCATGGCTTGACACTGCTGCTCAGAGAGAGGAACTTGCTCGGGGCCCTCCCAGGGACGTCGCCTACGCAGATCACTGCCATGCGCGTGTTGCGGCCCCAGGCCTGCTGCTCAGCAAAGATGAGCCGGCCGCGCAAGCTTTGCGCTTCCAGTGGGGACATGCTTCCGCGTGAGAGGGCCTCGCTGAGGACCATCCCGAGCTCTGCTGCCCGTGTGGGCTTGTTCCTAACAGAGACCTCACCGAGGTGCTGCTTGGAGAGGTCTACTCTAACGCCCAACAGGTCGAAAACTTCGCTGAAGTCGACGTTCTTCTTGGGCTCTGTGGCAACTTGCCAGCCCAACTTGTCAAACATATTGGTCACTGCCAAGCTCACAAGTTTCTTATGCGCGCTGCGCGTAAGAACTGTGAAGTCATCGAAAAAGCTCGTCATTACTAAAGCGAGCTTCTCGCGGCCAATGGCTTTAAGCGCTTCGCTGCAGCGCAAGAAAGCGTGCACTGCTGCGACGGCGCCGAACGGCATGCTATGTAAGTAGGCAATTTTTACTTTCCCACTCTGTGGGTCTCGCATTGCGATGCAAGCGAACTTCTTGTGTGCAGCTTGCACTGCCAGCTGCTTGTAGGCGCTTTTGAGGTCCCACGTTCTGCCTACAATGCGGTGTGCCTGCTCTGCAGGCACACCCTGACGCAGCCACTCCAAGCAGACCGCAAGGAGCTCGTCGATGCTATCGACTTGTACCTTCTCAGTTGTACCACAGCAGCTGTTTATGAAGCTTTTTTTTCACCAGCAGCGTCCTCGAAGGTCGCCTAGCTCAGGCACTACAGGTTTTCGCAACCTGGCGTCTCTGTGGACGCTTGGCCCCTAGCACTGTTAGACAGTGCTCAACAAGTCCGGCACGTATGCCCTAGCGACAAGTGCACGGTTCCCACTACACTAGAACACAGAGTACAAAAAGGTTCGTCAAAACTTCGAGGCGACAGGAGTAGGCTCTTTCAACACTTGCGTGCGTTTGTGCAAGCAGGAGCCCTCGATCTTACAGTAAGAAACAAAAACTCGGCTACAGCGGCAGACAACAGCGGCAGACTAAGTGAAGCAGCCCTCTAAGTGCCGAAAAGCTCACGCTTCAGCAGCAGTGGTTGACAACTGAACTGACAGGCGCTACAAGCGGCAGTCACTGTACCTCGATGACCGACATGTATGGGTCAGTCACTCGCTCACAGGTCCGAACATGGAAGCCAGCATCAGCAAGCATGGCGAGATCATCCGGTTGAAGTCTCCATGCATCTCGAATGTGAAAACCAATGACGACCGTCCGCTCTCCCGTCCAGTCAAACACTGCATGCGGCTGCGTTGCATCCAGCAAGGTAAAAGGGTGTCTTACTGGCACAACATCGCCTAGCAGCTCGGTACCTGGGAATGTGATGCAGCCACGGTCACTGGAGACCCAAAGTTCGCCAGCGTCCCAATAGCCGGCCGGAATCACAATATTTTGAAAAGTCCGGCTGTTGTGTGCATCCACATGTACCCCAGACTGCTGATTCAGCGAGAGTGTGACAGTTGTAAAGGGCCTCGAACCCGCAGCAGATTTAACTATACAGCAGAGTAGCCTCGTCACCCACAAATAAGTACGCATGCTTGTTCGGATCCCCGCTTCGCCACCGAAGATGTAGGCACCTGTTGTAAAGCACCGGGACTCCTGGCAGCGCGAGTAGGAGTGACTGCTATCCACCATGTGTTTGCGTGGCTTCGCATCGACTGGTAGAAGAAGGCATAGCTGCTGTAATTGACTAAAGGTCACGAACCCTGTATGCAGACAGGTGTATGCCAGCTGGTTGGCTCGCTCCCCCATGTCAGTGAAAGCATCTGTCAGCGTGCTCACAAGGTCAAACTCAATCGCAAACCCGTCAGAGCAGCAAGAACAATCGGTGGCCATAGATGATTGACTGGAGCTGCTGTGCAAAGAAGAGTCAATGATGGTGGCATCGTCATCCGGCATGTCGTCGTCCGGGCGAGGGTCATAATAATACATCTCAGGCGTAAGTGCTGTCTCAAACCACGGGGCAGGAAGTCGCAACACCTGCAAGGTCACATCCGAGTCTTCACAGCCTGTAGCCATGGAACATCGTCACCAGGGATGTGGCCGAAATTTCGTGAAACTGTGATTCGAGAATAATTGGGGCGATCAGGCACAAGAACTCTATATAAGCACGAAAGCATAAAGAGCGACAGTGTCAACGCAAGGCACAGCTTGTCACTGAACATGCGTAACAATGGTATGCGAGCTGTACAGATGTTTTGCATCCAGTCGCCAGAAACTGTATGTGTGTATAATCAAAGAGAATACCCCTCGAGCTGCTCCCCGCCACTGCAACACTGTACAAGTTGCAGCCTAATGGAGCAGTGCCCCGCCCCTGATCATCACTCTTCTCCCCCAGGATCCAACCTCCTGCAGAAGAACATGTAGACATCCGCCGATGTGTGTATACGACTCCGCGGCTTAGGCTGCTGCTGTGGTTGTATTCCGTCATCACTGTGAAAATCCGGTTTATGAAGCTGCTTTTGAAGTTGTCAATAGGGCGTAACTTTCCCTTTTGCACAACTCCAAAGCGAGACGAAACTATCGTCTCGTGCAAGCGAGAGGGCGAGAAGTCTTCGAGGGAGAGCCAGCCCTGCTTGCTCTCCTCGAGGGTGCTCTCCCACACTTTGTCGGAGACGCCGTCTTCTGTCGGGCGTAGCGCGCTGCGCACACCCCGCATGCCAATGCTGTGGCTATTCTGCAGAAGGGACGTCTCGTCCAGTGAGGGAGGCAAGATCTGTGCCGGCCAAAGCCCGCTGGGCTGTATCCATCCCAGAAGTGGGAAACCCTCCCGAACTTGTTGGGCCACAGTGCGGTCGGGGCTTTCTAAGGCCACCGTCTGTTTCGGTAAGGTAACACTGTTAACTGTTAACCTGTTCATCATTCGAAGCGCGCGCCGCTTCTTCCAAGTCCTTGCACTCTGTGCAAGTCTTGGCGATCTGCATAGATGCTGCCGTCCGTCGCTTTGCGAGGAAAACCGTGTCTTGGTGTACTTCGGCAGAGATGGCTCGTTTGAGTGACAGGGGCACTGCCTCAATGTCTCTTGCCGGGTGGTCAATCAGGTGCGCTCTGCGCACCCAGTGCAAGGGCTGCAGGGGAATGGCGATCACGGCTTTCTGGGTCGACTCAATCCACTGGACCAGCTTGGACCCCTTCGGAAAACACGACCACGACTGTGGCAGTGTCAATCTTTGTGGAGTCCTGAAAACATGCTTGAAGGACCAATCTCATTCTCAATTCAGTGTCTGTTTTCCATCTCTTCACCCATCGAACACCAATCGCACCATCAATGTCAGACTGTGAGCATTTGTCAATGGGAACCTCAGTGTACACATTGAAATCATTCATCGACTGCATCTCTTTGTTCATCCCAATGCGCTGTGGTTCAGCTGGGAATTCTCTAGCGGTATCCCAAATCACTGGCTCTGACAATCTGATTTCTTGGTGCAATTCGTCGTGGTCCATATTCACGTGAACAGGAACGGCAATACCGTCCTTCATAACACCATCAGTCGCTCCAACAATGCCTGCAATGTACTGAACTGCTGAAGCAACGTGGAATGTCACTGAGCGCAACGCAGAAATCCTCTGAACCTTAGTAGGTGATGTCGGAACCTCAGTATCAGGAACAATTCTGGAGGACTTTGCCTGCGGTTCCTCAATCTGATCACCTGACGGCGAATGCCTGGGGAGAATGGCAATTCTGGCTCTGACATTTCAGTTTCATGAGGAGGCTGCTCTTGCAACTCAATGCTTTCTCTTTGTTCAGATGTCAATTCTGAAGGATCCAACAATCTGGTCGATGAATCAACCAAGGTTTCTTCGCCTTCGGGCGGATCCTCAATTGCAGTTGGCTCGGTCGATGGAGCAATCTCTTTCACGGCTTTAGTCGAAGTAGCACCACGACTCTTCTGCAGAATGCTCAATGCTTCCGGATAGATGAAATCCGTGGAATCATCTTCTGCAACTCGTGGCCTCCATGGCAATGCCTGAAGATTCTTGACGGGATCTGCATTCCACTGCAATGAAGGAGAAAATCGTCGAATAGTACGAACCTTCCTGACTCCTTCTGGCAATGCAAAAATGATCTCATCTGCTTCAGTGTCACGTCCTAGCCACAATGCAGTCTTCCAAGGAATGTCACTTTTCTTGGAGAACTTGGGGCTAATGACCTTGGCCTGCACAACTTCTCCAAAGCAACACAATCCACCTTCATAGTTCCGGTTCCATCTACGGAAATAGGATGTCTTACCATCCGAATGGATCAAGTACCTGTTCAATAGCCACTGGGCGTGCTTGACACACCACGGATAGACAATGCTGTCCGAGCTAAGCTGAATGTCACAATTGAACTCGATCTGGTACATCAATGATCTCAATTGTCCGTAGAATGTTCTCTGCATTTGTCCTACTGAGCCTTGTGCCTGAGAATGGCCATGTGGTGCAGCTCTAATGCTGAGGCCTCCCAACTCGGCGCGTACTCTGACACACAATGCTTTCAATGACGATTCTTTGTCATATTGGAGAATACCGAACGTACGTCCACATTCATAGATGAACTTCTTCAATTCGGCAACTGCATAATCGTCATTTCCTTTGCTAGGAACAACAATGGTCATTCCCAGACCTGTGACAACATCAACTGCGGTCAATAGCTTCCTCAAAGGGAGTTTTGGGTCAGTGGCATGAAATGCATACTCTACCTGAATGACTGGCTGTCTGTCCAATTGTTTCTTAGACGCTCCATGTCTGCCTTTTGCTTTCACACAATGTGGACACCAATCTCTGTAAGGTAAATGGGTCAATTCATGCTGACGACGTTCAGCTGCTGAGGGTTCTGAAGGAACTCTCAATCCTTTCGGGGGTCTGGCAGTGACATCAGTAGTTTCGGGAATGGGATGATCTATCTCCATAGGACTTGCAATCCCGAAGACAGAAAATCCAGACCATCGAAAACCCAATTTCCTTTCAGGATCTTCTTCCGGAGACTTTTCAGTTCCAGATGAATCTGTCCAATTGCACCAATGGTCCTCAATCTCAAGACCGTTCTTCTCAGGATCAGAACAATCCAAAACGCATGTGTACCTGTTCGCAGTTAGCAGATTACCGAACTCATATGGGTCTGCTGACGGCAATGGTGACGGGCATTTGTCTTAATTTACTCAGTTGTTCTTCCGATTGAGCAGAAACGGCAGCGCTAAAATAAAATGATTCGTGAATCTATATGCAGCGAACCGATATACATAAATGTATTGCATAAATTCCTTCAGGACGCCACACTCGCACTGTCTTCATTTTCACTGGTGACGTCGGGCAGCACTCCAGTACCGACGTGTTCAACCGCGGTTGCGATTGAGACACATCGTATGTGCAAGCAAGATTGGCCGTCAAGGGACTCAGCAGTCCACACGCACACAAGCTATGGCAGGGATAGTCACCCCAAGCAAGATTGGCCGTCAAGGGACTCAGCAGTCCACATGCACACAAGCTACGGCAGGGATAGGCACCCCTCAATGGGACTAAACAGTCCACAATGCACATGGTGCTGCGGAGCACAGCCTGAGAGGCTCAAGGCAGGTGGAATCCAAGCAAGAGCATATTCTCAAGTCGACAAGCCGGAGGCACCAGCGGCCCAAGAAGCAGTAGCAGCAAGGGTTTGCGTCATTATCACTGGGTGGGCGGGCGGGACAAAAATTTCTGCCCATGCCCATGTTGCATGCTGTTTTCACTTGCTCCCTTGAGCATGTCCTTGCGGCGGTGTACACAAGCATTCACATGTTCGGGCTGCACGCAAGAAGTGTTCAAGGTTGCTCGCAAGATAAAATCACTTTGCAAATTTTCTTTCCAACTCAATCGGAAGAAGTAAAACTAACCTAGTTTTACAAAACAACGTCGTAAATTAAAGCGCTATCAACCAGTTGACCGCTAGCTTAATTTACTCAGTTGTTCTTCCGATTGAGCAGAAACGGCAGCGCTAAAATAAAATGATTCGTGAATCTATATGCAGCGAACCGATATACATAAATGTATTGCATAAATTCCTTCAGGACGCCACACTCGCACTGTCTTCATTTTCACTGGTGACGTCGGGCAGCACTCCAGTACCGACGTGTTCAACCGCGGTTGCGATTGAGACACATCGTATGTGCAAGCAAGATTGGCCGTCAAGGGACTCAGCAGTCCACACGCACACAAGCTATGGCAGGGATAGTCACCCCTAATTAACCGCAGTCCTATGCAAGAATGTTATCGAGCGTTTTTGCAATTGGGGTTGCCTTGATAATTCCTGCTCTGGTCCTCATGGCTTTGACCAGCTCTCTGGACAAAATGTCTGATGGGTTCGACGGGCTCGGAACGCGAGCTATCCAAGTGTTAAGGCCTGCCATGTCTTCCACCGAGAGGAGTAACTCGATGAGCATCTTGCCTGTGTCGTTTCTTGCCCTCCCCGAAATGCATACGTCTCGAGCACTATTATTATCCACGTAGGCAACTAATGCGTGATGCATGACCCGTTTGCGCCAAAGCACTATTGCAGCGATGTACGCCACAAGTTCTGCCTCGAAGATGATGGTTTTCTTCCTGGCGCTGCCGAGCTTTTCCATTTGTTTTTGGTCTAGTTCATACGAGAAGAAACTCAGCATCTCGCCCTCATGGTCATAAAGCACGCCGCCTATGCCGCACTTAGGGCCCTGAGCGCTTACCTCGTAAGCGGCGTCAGTGAAAATGTATCGCGGGGTGTGAGCTGGTCTCGCCAGCACACGTGGCTTTGAGTCCCTGAGAAGCAGTGCATACCGATTCAAGGCAACAAGAGCGTCCTGCCCAAGTGTCGTTTGACCCGACGCGATATGCGTATCCAATTCCTTAAGACAGAGCTTGCTGGCACGGCCAAAGACTTGGCCGTCGGCAAACTGTAACCGGCCCCTGAGCCGCTGTGCATCTCTATTGCGCAGCTCCTTGCTTTTGACCGCATCGGTAAGCGCAGCTAGAAGTTCTTGTACCCTGCCGTCGGTATTCCCAACCTCTACACGTCCGCTACTAAA